GGCTCAATGTTGAGGAATTTCGGGTGGCACCGCTGCGGGACGGGGCCCGGACTGCGGCCCCCTGGCTCCCCACCCGCGACCGGCTGCCCCCGCACAGGCCCGCAGGTCCTCGCCATACGTTTGCGGTAGAATTGGTTCATCTCGCTACCGTTCACAAAACTGTAAATGAACGACAGGTTGCCGTACAGGTCGAGCAGATCCTGCCGGGTGTAGGTGCGCTTACGAAGCTGAAGCCCCGCTAAACGCCAGGGCTCCTCCGGCTGATGCTCGATCGTTCGTACAACACTTCCCGATCCACAAAGACGACGAGCTCCCTGTAACGCCACACCAAGGATGTTCATGGAGGGCCCGATGAAAAAGTACAGACATATACAGAAAGCGATAAGTAGAGCAACCAGCACGCGCAGACTCCTCACGCGGCCGCGGCGAGTGACATTCTTGAAAAAGAACCCACTGAGCCTATCGCAAGTCTGTCTCTTAATCCCCAGCAATCGCCTTTTTGGATTCTGAAAACGGGTATGGTTCATTGGGAGTCTAGCTTAGCGACTCGCTCTTGCTGAGTCCACCCTGCTTCCTATCAAAAATGAGTGTGATCCTATGGATTTGACCAACAAAAGTTTCGTAATCGAGCACACTGAAAAGGGAGGTTCATTCACTACACGACTATCTCATGCAAACCATTTGAAGCACAGGTGGACTACAATATGTGAGAACAGTAAAGGTCCCCCGTTCCTAGTGCAACGATATTAAGTTCGTAGAAAATAGACTTAAAGGGAATAAAGTATGAAAAAAAAGCCAAACTTACGCCATCAAAAGACAATATCGTGATCCACAAGCAACCGCTTCTTACCTCCCCACCAATGACACCACTCCCCCAATCAAAACAAAATAAAGCAACACACCACTTTAGGGCGGTTGAGCTTATATTCATGCACCAAAAATACCGAAACATCTAAAAGATTTGATTCGCTAAGCACTGAAATAAGCTAACGCAGCTCAAAAACAAAAGAATATAAATTGACTAAGTACATGCTGACCCCCGCGCTCATATTCTCATACACGTCATGCGGCAACGGGTACGATTGCAGGAGATCCACCTCCGACGCACCGGTAATCCAGTGCACACCCTTCACATCCGCGGCCCCGCGCGACAATACCAACACAACGCCCGCACCCTCCTCGTCAAGTCGCACAACGTCGAAGTCCTCCAGCGCGAGCGTCTGCCCAGGCATCGCCAACACACTGCGCAACGCGCTGGCATCCACCACAGGGGCCTCGCTCGTCTGCGCGTCCACCACAAACCCACGCACGCGGACTCCTCCTCTTCCACAGAATTCCTATGTTTTCTTGGTATAATCTTTTGAATTGATATACATCAAAGAGCATCTTAATGGTTAGTTGTGATAAATGAAATAGGGAATAATATTTATATTTTAGATTTTAGAATGTAATTCTATCAAGTCAGGACGCATAATGTTAATTAAGCTTGATGAATGCTATGCACTGTGATATGTTATATTTTTTCATGTGCGCAGTTTTCGTAGTGACGGTTTTAAGTATCAAAAAATGAGAAAAGATAGCAGATATATTTTATCCAGCATTTGAGCCTATTTTTGGAATAATACGAGAGGGAATTGACGATATTACAGGAAAACATTAAAATATTAAATACATTTGTTTATTTGCAAAAAATGTAGAATTCACCTTGTAATTCATCAATATATTCTCTTCTTTTTATCATGAAAAGGAAGAAATGGTGTTTGTAAATGATGAGAAATAGCATTGACATTCGACAAAATTAGAGGAATCAAAGAGATGAAGCTGAATTTGTGTATCATTCGCAGCAAACATAAAGTAGAAATACAATAATACATTCTGCAATTAAAAATAAAACTAATAATTTTAATAAATATATTCCCAAAAAAGGTGGAAAATAGTTGAAGGGACAAAAGGGAAACTAGAATGATAATAATCGTGATACCATTGACTGTTGTGTTTATAAAAAAAGAAGAGGATTCTCGCATGCATGACAAACATCCTCTCAATCAAAATCAAAAAAAAATCACATAAAAAAAAGTTACTAAATAAGGAAAAGAAACAGACATTCATACAAAGTATATTAATAATCTTTTTCAGTAACTTTGAAAAGAACTAAGATTCGTAACTGAAGCGGAAAAAGAATGAAAAAATACGGAATAATTGTAGGGGGGAATACATCTATACAACTACATTTTATAAAAATATTAAATACAAATGAACGCACCAGTAAGATACATAAACGGGGTCAACCAGACTCAATAAGTACAGTTCGATAACCATGCATAGCTTCCCCCCATTTGTTTATGAAAAGTGCCCATATATTTTAAAAATGAATGCTACACTTATTTTTATGGAGTATTATTTCTCTTTTAACAAAAAGAAGGCTTGAGCCACATATTTTTTACCCATGTTTTGTTGAAAGGGTATTAAAAAAATTGCTGTTTGCTATACAAACAACTAAATGGGTAATAAAAGATATGTGCGTTATCATTATTATTATTATTATTATTATTATTATTCGGGCAGGGACGAAAACATAGATAAAGAAGTTTAGCTTATTATATTTATAAATTATGCATCACAATACAACTACAGAAAATTGTAACTCAAGAAATGAAAGCACAGTAAAAATAAGATAAAAACTAGGAGAATCAGTTCGCCATGAACACAATAATTTTTACATGCAGCCCTCTTCTTCATTACGACTAATTGAATCAGAAAAATGGATATACTAAGCAAACGAACCAAATCGTAAAAGCACCATATCATGACCAGCAACAGCCCTTAGTTTCTCATATGCGGAGATAGGTTGTGCTTGCTTGCCTGGTGTAGTATATATGTATTTATTATGCTTTAATAACAGATTTTGAAATGTACACGTGATTGATGATGGCTGTATAAAGACTATTTTTTAGTCTTGTTTATAGGCCTGAGGCTTTAAGTGAGTTCTCAAGGTCCCTTTCCAGTTGCTCCAAGATACCCGCCGATGACAAATGCACATTCGCGAGGAAAGGATGCTGTAGTGCGTCATCGCAGGTTATTCGGCATGATGGCTCGTACTCGAGAGTGCGCCGCAGAAGATCAACCCCATCGTCGCCAACAGCATCCCTAAAACCTGTTTCTGCTAGAAACACATCCAACATTGGATTTGGAAACCATAGCTCAGCAGGGAGCTGGTAGGAATTGACCTTCGGATGCGCAAAAAAGCCTGCGCTGTGGGAGTGGTCAGTACAAGCAATGGAGTCGTGAGAACAACGATCATTCGCCGTGCTTTCTATCAAGTGTCTTTTAAAAAATTCAAAAAAAAAATCCTGACTACAACTACGATTATGTGAAGAATGACTATGGCTATCCCTATTGTTCTTGCTATCATCCGCGTTGGCAGCATGGTGGAGTTGAGTTGCCAACGCCGTGACACTCTCCAGCCGACTGCGTACCTTCGGGTATGTGAGCATGGATGACCATGACTCATGCGTAGGAGAGCCTAAAAGGAAAAACATCCGAAAAAGCTGTTCCTCCTCATTTCGCCCGCAAAAAAGTACCTTGCCGGTCACTATTTCAAAGAAAATCGCCCCCATCGACCATATGTCTACTGGAAAAGAATAAAGCGCAGAGCCCATCACAGCATCCGGACTGCGATACCACAGCGTTACCACATCATGGGAGTACTTCTTCACTGGGATGCTATCCACTCGCGCAAGTCCAAAGTCCCCAAGTTTTATGCTCAAGTGATGCGCACTACCCCCGCCACCTCCAGCGTCCCTGTGATCTACAGATGCGCCAGCCTTTACACCGCACTCGTCGCGGCCTTTTCCCGCTTTGACAGGCTCCCCAAGAGCCGCAAGCGGTGGGACACCGCGGGTGGCCTCCGCCGTGCCGTCCACTCTGGCGGCGTCGCGGGGACGGCCGCCGTGGGACGCCGCCCCACCGGAGTCGCTCTTCGCCGAGCAAAGACGGCGACGGAGCCGAATGTTCAGGAAAATGTTCTGCGGTTTCAGGTCACGATGAACGACACCGCGGCTGTGCAGGTACTGAAGTCCAAGAAACATCTGCTTCAACACCGGACATACCTCAGTCTGTGGGTCCATTCGACCGTTCTCTTTATCATCGAGGAATTTCTTTAGATCACAATCGCAGAGCTCGAAAATGAGCGTGATTTTAGGTTGTTCGAAGAGCACTTCATACATGCTAACAATATTATCATGTTTTAGCTCCTTAAGAAGGCAAATTTCGCGTATGGCAGTACCGGGTACCCCTTCGTCATCGCTAGACGACAACATACGTTTGAATGCAATTATACGACCAGTATCGCGCTCTGTCGCCTGGTAAACTGCCCCATAAGTTCCTTCACCCAGCTTGATTATGTGTCGATAGCGACCTGCAATAGACATTTGAGCGGAAAGTGAGTATACTAAAAAATGTTATCAACAGTATTATTACTAGATCAATCGCAATACAAGGCTAAATGCACAAATAACAAAACGCAAAAACTCTCAATAAAGAATAACAATACGAAGCTTAGGAAGTATTAAAAATGAAAAAATTGGCAAGCTCTTCTTCCTTCTAGTGAGTAGGTGAATTTTGTAAAGAAAGAAACAGTGTGTATAAATATCTTCTGGGAGGATAAATTTGGACTATTCTCCTCGCACAAAAAGAGCTGCGTGTGTTCAAAACTAAGACACGGAAACCTTATCAAAAAGTATAGTGTGCAGGTACGTAACTAAATGCTATTTGAATTGAAATAATAAAGAAAGTGCGGTATGATTACAGGGTTGGAAAAACTACTTTTGGATGTCGCTAAGTGAGAAAAAAGATTGTAGAACTACTATGAAACAACAATTAAAAAAAATATTAAGGCGCTGGCTATGACAATGCTAACAAAGAAAAGGGGACTAATCAATTAAAACAAAAGTAAACCGATATAATATTTGGAAACCGAAGCAAAATCTATTAACCTATAAAAGAAACCCGCTCTCCATAAAAAAAAAATATTCTTATTTTTTTTCTTTAGAAAAGACCTCGAAAAAAAATATGCAATGTAAAGCTTAAATGCGTAGATTGATGACAAATAAATATATCCTCGAGCAGCTGGGGAATTTTCCTAAAAAAAAAAATAGGCCTCCAAAGTTTGACTCCTCCTAATAAGCAGATAAAGCAAAAAGACAGAAACAAAATATAAGTGACCAATGTAGAAATCAATACGATATTCTTCTCTAAGAAAATACAAATTTTTCCCTTCCTACCTCTGTTGTTAGTGTAGAATGTGTAAAATATGAAATATTAGAAAAAGGAGAAGGCATGAAAAAGAATAACAGAAATTTACGGCATAACCCCTCAAGTGCCATAACCAAAAGAGCAAAAATCGTTTAGATCGACAGCCAAAGTACATATATGTCAATGTATATACGAATATAGATGTCTGAAAGGAAATGGAAGCAAAAAAAAACATGCATATAGATTCCTCATTATATGAAATTAATTAAAAGTTAACAGAAATTCTATTTAAAAGTATCATAATTGAAACAGCTCCATAGCCATACATTCTATTGTTTGATGGATTGATTTTCACACAAGTCTCCAGCACAAGGTCCTTCGTTCTATTTTGTCCTCCATTTTGCTTCTGAGTAAATTTATCCCTCCCAAATTTTGGACAACCCACCACCGCACACACGCAAGCCCGAGGCAGTGTTCACTAAACTACTCTATTTGCCCATATTATGCAAAACTCTAGATCGCCCTCTATCAGTCTTCAAAGGAATGCATCTTGGTAAAAGAAAACAAACGACTTTCATATTAAGAAGCCTCTCGATTCATACGCACGCAACTTCGCGCTAAGTTGTCCAATTATCGAATCCTTTCTCCCAATCGATACGTGTGCGTCCTGAACACGGACATTTGTATCTGAAACCTCCTCCTGAAGCCTCTTTATCTCCTCTTCATGTGAGCAGAGGCGAGTGGTAAGAAGTCGCACAGTGCTCTGTAGTTCCTGATTGAGCTGATCACGATACTTGGAGTCTTCTTGGTGTCTCGCGCGTGCGGCTTCGGATTGCTCCAGGGCGGCCTCTAGGTCCAAATAACGAGTTTCCATGGTGCGATGAATATTGTTGAGTTCGCGCTGATATTCTGTGCACATAGTTTGTGACTTCGCTAAATCTGAGCGCAGGCCGTTGAGCAACTCATCCATGCGTCGCATCCCCTCCTGATGTTCACTCTTGAGGTCCCTTAGCTCCTCCTGTAGGGCGTTCTCGCGCAGAGCAGCATCGCGCCTGAGTGTGGTTAGCTCCTCCCGTAGCTCGACAATTGCGGCTTCTTTCGATGCAACAGATTCGCGGGCGCAACTGGACTCCATACGCGTCTGTTCTACCACGAGGTTAAGGCTCACAAGCTCAGCCTTATGTCGCTGCTCCAACTCATTTAACTTGCTCTCGTGTGCGGCGCCCTGCCGCCGGAATTCATGGCGACTCTCCTCCAGGCGGCGTAAGCCCATCTGCACCTCGTTTTCAAGCTCATCATTGCGCAGCTTAGACTTCTGAAGCTCATCGGTTAACCTTTGGTTGGCATCCAGAAGCTCCACATTAAGTTCCCTCTCCTTATTTTGCTTGTGGCGTAGATCCTCTACAATAATTTTGGCGTCTCGGAGTTGCTTACTTGTGCTCTCCAACGAAGCCCGATCAACTGACATTTCCTCAGACACCGCCTTCAGTTTAGCATCGCTCTCGTGCAGAGTCCTTTCCAAGCGTAGCCGCTCCTCCTCCAGGTTTCTCAAGCTGCCTCGTAACTGATCCAGTGTTTTGCTCCATTCCTCCTCACGAAAGCTGTAGTCCTGGCTCATCCGGGAGATTTCGGCCTCCATATGTTTGATTGTCTCCTTTTGCTCTACCTTGATGCACTCCAAAGCCGTAGATTTCGCCGTCAGTTCATCCCGAAGACGTTGCTGCACTAGTGCCTCCTGTTGAACCTGTTGCTGCGAATAAGCCAGATCCGAAATCGCATTTCGCAACTTTGCCTCTAAATTTTCTATCGCATGCTGGTGCTCCTGCAGAAGGGTTCGCTCCTTAGTCCGCTGATCTATCTGAAGTGCTTCCAACGCGCACGAGGCTTCGTGAGTCGTTTTTTGGAGGTTTTCCGCGCGTAGGTGAAGTACCTCAAGTTTGCTTTCGGCGTCCTTACGGGCCCTCTGCTCCTCCGAGAGCTCTTTGCTCAAGGCATCGATGACTGCCTGCTGCTGTAAAATCTTGCTGTGGTGCTGCGTCTGGAGCTGCTTACGCTGGGCATAGGCGTCCGCCATGGCTTCTTCCTTCTCACGACGCATCTGTTCAAGGGCCTGGCGTAGCGACTCCGATACCTTCTTCTCGTTTTGTACGGCCTTTTCAAGATCAGTACGATACTCACTAGTCTGTTTGCTGTAAGCCTCTTTGATGGACTCCAGCTCCTTGCGTACTACCTCAAATTCTCTACGATGCACCTGTCTGAGACTTTCTAAAGTGTGACTCCTACCCTCCTCTTGGGCGGCTACCCTCTCCTGCGCACACCGCAGTTGATCTAACAACTCCTGCTGTTTGCTCTGCCATTTCGCACTTTCTCGCAGTTGCTCTTCTCGAATTCGATCTATCTCCTCTTGAAGAGACTCTTTTTCAGTTATAAAACGATTCTGAATCTCTCTCACGCGTCTAGCGCCTTCGACACGCTCACGATCAAGCTGCGCTTTATGCTCCTCAAACTGACCCTCCAGCACATCACGTGCATTCATCATCACCTCGTGCTCCGCCGCAAGTTTGTTATACTGCTCCTTTATTTGATCCATCGCTGTGCGCAGAGCCGTTATCTCTCTTCCTTGCTCCTCGATAAGCGCCTCTGTTTGCTCACGATAGTCAGCCATAATAGAACCCTTTTCCACACGCTCCTTCTCTAGTAAAGCGAGCATATCCTTTCGTCTCCGCACAGCCTCCTCATCAGCCTTGGCTTTCTCAGCCATAGCAACCTCCGAGACAGTTTTAAGAATTCGTATCTGCTCACATAGCTGCCTTATTTGTGCTTCGTGCTCGATTCGTATTTCTTCCATCTGTTCAAAGTAATGCATCCGAAGGGTCTGCACGCTGGCGCGTTCACGATCCAGTGCTGTCTGAAGACTCTCCAACAACATACCGCGTTTAGCAGAGTCCTCACGAACCTCAGCCAATTCCCTCTCTGCATTGATAAGCATCGCACGTATTTGCATGGCATGACCAGAATCATAGTCTGAGATCCTGTAACCGAGGCTCCCGCTCCTGGTGAATGGTGCATGTCCATCTTTATAAAATGCCGCGGTGTTGGAGTCGCCACCGTTATGGTACTTCACCAGCTCGTTCACGAAGGATGGCGTACTTGATGGCGCCTTCCTCCCATCGTTATCCTCAGAAGCACTCAACTCATAAAGGGCGGGTCGTGCGACACTTTGCCGGCTCCCCAGTAAACGATTTGTCATACGACGGGTAGTACTCGCTGCCGGCTTGGTAGCCTTTTGCGGGGTGATGGAGCCCTCATTTGCCATTTTAAGGGAACCGGCGGCGTCCGTTTGCTCTAGTCCCCCTTCCTCGAGTGGGAAAGCAGTGCCCATCCCTGCGCTGGGGCTGGAATTCAGCGGCTGCATCCCGCGGCTCTCCCGCAATAAGACTGGATCCGGGGAAGCCTCACCCATATCTGACGCCGCACCACCATCCGGTGCAGGGGTATCAAGTTGAGATGCAGAGGGCTTTTGGAGCCCGCTGGGGGGTAACCTGGCCCTGTCGACGGCGCCGCCCGGGCTGGAAAGCCCTGAGGTTCCAGAGGTCCACGTGGTTTTATCGCACGTCCATGAACGCAACGGAGTCAAGAAGGACGTACCAGGCCCCTCTGCCGTAATACCAGGTGATAAATCGGAGGAAAGTCGCGTGGCAAGTGATCGACTCTCCTTCCCGCACTGAATGTGTGTTGGGGTATCCTTGCTCGGATGTGAAAAGGAAATCCTCTTTTCTGACTGCTGTCTACCTTTAACAGATATCGATTCGACCGGGAGGGTTGTTTGGGTCGATGGCGGTGGTCTATTCTGAACAGGATTCTGGTCATAGCTCGACATTGATGCCGCTTTTACTACCCTCAAAATGTTAAAACCCGAAACACTATGTTGTTGTCAGATGTAAGTGTAAAAGTAATAGAAAGTTACAAATCCATTAAAGTATATAATGAAATGAAATCAATAAAAAGGTAACAGATTGAAAATATGAATACGCGAATTGAAGTACTAGCATAAAACAATTACTTCCCACGACAAACAGTGATGGGAGGAAATAAACAAGAATACAGCGCATACACCATGTGGGCAGAGAGAAAAAGATAAAAGTATCTCATAGAACTTAGAAATTCGCTTATGAGTTGCATGTAACTTTGAAAGGCGTGCAGGGTAACAATGCTAATGCAGAAGTTGCATACATATTTGCGTATATATGGATATGTGAAAATATGATGATGTAAATCATAGGCGCTCAAGAAAGCTTTCTGCATAAGTGCATGCACAAAATATTGTTTCAAAATGTAGCAAATGATAGCTTAAACGGATATTTATCAAGAAACTTAAACATCGAGTGGCATTTTCTACACGCCACATGGTCCAACTGTTGTTTGTATTCCAGAATAGTCACTGACATAAGGGACTCCCTCATACGATGTACGTCAGTTTCATCTAACATCCACTTCATATGTGCAAAGGAAAAAATTACTCTGAAATGCACGTAGTAGTCCCTATGGAGCATGATAAATACAAAGTTAGCCTAAAGTGAAGAGTGATAACGTGTTCAAATGATCTAACGCAAGATACTTTTCGCGTCACTTGAACTTAGTTGAAACTAAAAGGCATTACCAAATAGTCACCCGCGCAAGACCTAAGGATAAAGATGATAGAGTTTGGAAGCATCTGGTGCACTCAGCAGTAGTTATCCCAATCATATTCAATCTGGAAATCATCGAGAGTAGCGGTACGTTCAGTTGAAAGGATGCATAAGAACCACAATGAATAAATAAGCATTTTTTGCACTGACACCACTTCCAGAACATCTCTTCAAAAACTGTTTTTTTGATTTACTATTATCGTAGCAACATAGAAGTATCCAACAGCTATGCACAAAAATGTCTCACACTTGTAGTTGTGACTCATTTTTCAATGTATTGCAGACAATACAATAACACTGGCCTTCCCCAATAGAGGGAATACACGCAGCAGTCGTAAACTATACGAGGCATCGATAAGTTGTCTAGATTACATCGATTAAATCCCGCAAGGTGTCTCGCTAAGTAACAGTAAGAATAACGCGACATTAATAATGATTTAGTATAATTTACAGATAATGTCCTCCTGAAACTTCAGACTGCAGCTGCCGCTGATCTTACCGATCGAGCAGGGGTCAAGCAGGGTAGCCTCTCTAAGGCTAATGCCATCAAGAACTAACTCCTTATCACGTCTTATGAAAACAAGTATCAGAGAGTTCAGAGAAATAAAGTTTATGATCGCTTTTTCTTTTGTGATAGTTATCATGTAGTTTTATGTTCACACTACCTTCAAACTCTATTCAGACACTATTGGCTCATATATCACATGATTAATGTAAATTAATCCATCCAAATCCCAAAGTAGTAATTTGTTGGGTACGATCCACAGGGACTGGCTTCTGAAGAAGCTTGGTAAGGGTTAGTAGGGTCACATGAACTTTCGGATCAAACTAACAGTAATTTTGAATCAAGCAATGTACCAACAAATTTGCATGATATACTCTCAATACATACAGCAGAAAAACATAAACTAATCCACAAAGTTGTCTGCCTCCGAAATACGCGAATCAGAAGATATTGAAGCCGATGCTGGCCTTCTAAGCTTCAACAACAAAGGCAGTTCAAGTGAACCACCACGTTAAACGTCATTGTACTTTGAACTACCCCTAACAATTCAAAAGGCCCCACTCGACTGAGGTCACTGGCAGCACGTTACCTCAAAATACCACTAAATGTAAAGAAAAAAATGAAGAAATCTGCAACTAATGAGCTATAATTTTTTATATAAACTGAAAAATTTCCTTTCTTGCGCGTCCTATGTCATTAAACTTAATAGAATCTGTTACCATAAGTCGTTATTATATGCTATGCCTTGGAATGCTTCCTAATCATGGGCAGATGGGAAATTCTTATGAGCTGACCTCAAAGAGTATCGTCAAATTTGCTCATTAAGGTTTGTCTCAGAGAATCAGGCTCTCAGCCAAGAATACGAGGTAAGAGAACAACACCGAAGGTAACACACTAAACATAATAAAATGGTATGTCTTTGAAATTTTCGACAAAATTATCAGTTTGAAAAAAAATATAACAAAGATTTATATACAAATCCTTTATTTCATCATTTTACACTAGATATTATGTACTCCTTCCCCGTACAGATCACTGGCTGCTGATGAGACACATGTTGTATATCGAACTTCCAAAAACAACACTCAGCAGAGACGCAGTAGTTTGTAGGTCATCCTACTGAAGGTAATGTAAGAAGTCAGGTAGTAGAATATAGAATAAAGAAGCTTTGGTTGTAGGTTAATTAATTTTGTAGCGGCTAGGATCAAGTAAATGGATAAAAAATGAAAAGCCCCCTCTTTGTCAGAACTGACAAATTAAGGCAAACAATTTTTAGGAGTATTTTAATCCCAACAAGAGTAAAAATTCAACAATGAGGGGCAAGTGCACATTAACGAGTGATTCTTAAATGTGATTATAGAACTTGGACGAAAGAAGTGTATGTCATACGACTATGTTGATCATTTGCAACTCAACCTGCAAGACCTGAGCCAAGGTAAATTGAAGAAGGAAAAACTATCTCCCTGACCGATCATGTGACGACATTCCCTTCAACAATAGTCTCCCGATGGGAAAAACTTCTTATCAAAACAGAAGCTGATATCCCCGAAGGGTTAGGTCCCTATAGCAGTGCGCACCCGTTTAATTTTAAACTGATGAAGAGCTATGGTGCCAAAAATGTTCAGAGAGTGTAGACTAAAGTATGAAAACGATCATCTGCATCATAATGAGCTCCCTGATTGAATGGGTGAGAAAATCAATTAGTCTGTGCCCCACACCCACATGTGCTAGTATAAGATGTTACAAAATGTTTCTTGATACAAAACATAGACAAACGTGTGATGCACACCATTTGCCATGGAGTCGATTCGGCCAATAGTGTTGTTTAGATCTATTAGACGCGAACTGAGGCTTCGCGGTACGTCTTATGGCCGCTTATTTTTCAGAAGCACACAATGTACCTCGCGATAGTGGAAGTAGAAGGCATCCTTTTTTATCAGCATAAAATACTTTAATATTTGCAGGGGCCTCAATACCAAACGCTTTACGTGTATTTCCCTATTTAAACGAGAAATCGTCATACACACAACGCGAGCCATTTCGACAAGCTCGATCCCCTTTGAGGGTCTTGAAAGTAGGGTCAATACGTTGAGAACAAGAGCTTTTGCCCCAAGGCATTGGACCCGGCCAAACAATCTTTGCATGCTCTAGTAACACCCCCTCAGTAACACCAAACGCGTGTCTAGTTAACAGTTACTATAGGAGGAATAAGAAGGGCTGAATAAATAAAAGCAACAGGCCACAGAAACCCCCTTTAGTACTTTAGCCTATAGCTACCGAAGCCATAAACAAACCTCTAAGCAAACTTTGGAGCCATTCTCAGCTCAAACAGATCCCTTACAAAGTGCAGAAAAAATGATGAAAAAGCACTTAGTCATCTCATTACACCCTTTATAATTGAAGCAAAGAACTAATAATCAATAGAAAATGGAATTGTTAGGAAGTAAGGAAAGCGATGAGGTATTTACAAGCATGATACAGAATATAAGACGCATTTAATAACCTATTAAGATAGGTATTACTATTATTAAATGGGCATTTGTTCTGGATACTATAGAATACTGACTTCCAGAAATAGATTGGCAATACTAAAGCGGAGATAATAATGTATGCTAAAGCGTGCGTAGCCGAAGCAACAAACTTTTCGCATACATTATACCAATTCATGTATAAATCAATAAATATATATATATTGTCACGTGGTGAAGAAAAAAAAAATAATATAAACGTAATACTAAAAAAATTTGCTTTTTTCAGGTAATCATAATCGGTGTTAAGTTTCAAACACTACACTTACGGTTTCCACCTTTTTCGCAAACCCCTTAAAGAATTTAGACCATCTTGACTTACTTCTAATGAAAAAGTGGTTTGGATACTTTTTCTCTAGTTGAGCTCCTTGTATTTCAATAGCTTTCCAAAGTTGAGTTACATTTTTTAAAATTTCTGTTTTTTCGTCGTGATACGGGGAAGTGGCTGTCATTGGAGTTCCTTCACCATCAACGTTCCCAACAAACTGATCGTACAGATTAAAATCTACTTCAGCCTGGCACGTTAGAATACGAGAAAGAACCCCAAGGGAATTTTTTGTAGTAGTCCAAAAGGATGCAGGCTGCTGATCCCCTTTATTTCCTAACGCGTTCAACCTTTGCTCGGCTTCCAAGAAAGCAGGACCCCTTTCATCTTGAACGGACGAGGCCAACATCCGCGTGCGATGTGTTGAATCTTTTGAACGAATATCCTTCTCTAAAATTCGTCTTAAAGAAAGAACCTTTTCGTACACAGTCCAATAGGCCTCAAACTCGGCGTACAGCTGACCCCGCTCCTCTACTGAGGGCATCCAATCCAAGGAGGAGTGTTGGCCTCCACAGTCGCTGAGATAATGCGACTGATCCCGCGTAACCATTCGCGAGGAACTATTTTCTTCGCTCTCAGTGGATAAGAAAATAGATGCGTTATGGGAAACCTTAGGCTTATGAGATAAGCCCAAGGATGGCCCTGGTAATCGCTGCAAGTTATGGATAACATCCCTTGCTTCTGCCAAGAAATTTTTGTATAAATGCTGAAAGAAAGAAAGCGACGTGAGATCGTCCTCGTTGAGACATATACTTAAGTAAAGCTGCAATGAAGCACGCAGAAAGTAAAAGTAGCTCAAGGGCGGGCGAAAAAATACTTGAACCTGTTCCCCAAGGTTTGAATATTGAGTGTCATTTCGTTGTGTATAAAGATTGTATGGTATTAAATTTGGATTTGTAGTTATGGCGAAAGGCTTTTGCCGTGCGATCTTCTTCAACCGGTTGATCTCAATGGTGAGCTCATCAATCAATTCTCGCACTGAGTGGAAATATGATGATTGAAGCAAACGACGCTGTACACGAGCATCGTACTGTGTACACGCTGGTTGGAAAAAGTACGCAGCCTGTTCAACGATAAGGGCATAAATTTGGTATGCATCATGTATCTCAAAGCAGCGCACAGTAACTGTATGAGTACGGCGAGTTGAGATCTGAGAAATTGAATCTGCAAGCTGACCTCCATTTGGAGCGTCAGGTTCATGTGACTGAGCCTCTGGTATAGGAAATTTTCCTGGTTTTGGAATGTCATACACGCCGTTAAGTATGTCAAGCACACTGTTTAACCAGCTTATCAAAGACGCGCATGCTTGAATGAACTTCGCATAGCTACTTTTAACGATTTCAGAGGGAAGCTTCTCGGCTTTCAGGGAAAGCAAAAAAGTGTCGCTTAAATATCCATTTGCCCCGTGACCAACATGGTGACCTTCAATTGTTGAGTTGTCTCTGCATTGACTTGTGCGATGCACATAACTATTGCTTTCTAGCATACTCTCTTTAGCAACTTTTGTCCGCATTTTGGAAGTTAAGATTTGTGTGTCTTGATGTGGAACACTGCAAAACCATTGTTGAAGCCTTGAAACATTCGTTGTCCAAATGAAAGCGTTTGCGGCGTTTATTCTCTTCATGGTATCCCTTGAATTCAAAAGTTCAGTCTTCATGATTTCCACTGATTCTCTATATTCATTGAAGAAAACTGATGGGCTCTGCCGTGAAAAAGCATCCATAATTGATACTGATGGGAATGGTTCTACATCTTCAACATCTAAAGAATCGTGTATTTCCCGCGATACAAGGGGTTTACCTGCTGTAAAAAATGTGCTGATCTTTCTCATATTCAGAAGTACAGAATCGCAGGCGCACTCAAGGTTTCTAATATCCTCTGCTTGGAAAAAATTTCCACTTATGTCGACGGTTATAGCCCCTTCACCATCTTCATGTTTAAAATGAAACCGTTTAATATAATCAAGTAAAATCCTCTTATCATTTTCAGTGGGAAAGACAACTGCCATATGAAAACATGTAAATATAGTATGCGGCTCTTATCCTATGTGTCCTTTCTGACTATTACTCTACAGTGTCAATGGTTTTCAGTTAATTTGAGACGACAAACAATTAGTTGAAAAGTTTAAGAGAATAATAATAATATAACCACCACTTAAACCAATAATACCTAAGCATTAGTTACAAGTGGTAACCATAACTAAGTACATGCAACAAATTGATGTATTTCAAAGTATTTGCTTCGAATTTGCCTGCAGATCTATTATAATGAAAAACGTATCTGTCTTGGGATATTGACGCGATACATCTATATTTAAAAATGATTACATAATTGATAATATAACATGGTATTTTGCAATGCTTGAATTTCAACTATCCATTAGTAAACCGCTTTTAAAATGCATGTCAAATGATACTTTTTGATTAACAATAAACAAAAGAGTATTGACTGAGAGTGGGTCCAACAAAATGGACTGTAATGTGCAATGTCTTAGTACCCATTGTACATGGGGGACGCCTTCGGATTTTCAAAATTAAAGTATTCCCCTAGAGCTAGTACGGGTCGATTACAACAAACCAAAAAAAAATTGCCAACAATATCAACGATAATGTATAAAGATAGCAACATATTCACTGTAAAGCCAACCATATGAAAAAAATTGAGAAATGGATTATTAGAAAAGAATGACTTCAATGATTTCAAAGCCACTGCTGTATATGCGGGCTAACTCTTCGTGGTACCGCGGACTAATAACCATTTATGGTGAAGCCAAGCGCCTGCACACCTTTCCACCACCAACAGAGACATGTAGGCATGGTTACTGGTACTCGAAGGAAATTCAACAGGGACTCCCCAGAGGCTGTCCAAGCGGATGAAACATCCCGACTGGACACTGTTAGCGTGTATCCGACTTGAATAACTATACTGGGTTAAAGGCTTTCGTTTTTTATTTTTATTTATTTAGCTTGTTCTCTCATGTTTGAAAATAAAGATACACAATGGTCACACAATGGCTTCACAATGGTATATCAGAGGAATTCTAACATCCGTATGAGAAGTGTATCACATCAATGACATTTCGCAGCATAGGACTAGAAAGAGTATATTTCGCATATTCCTTTTTAATTGAATAAGTCAATAACTTAATCTTCTGGTTTTAGGTGAGGGCAGTATTAACTTCTTGACTCCCTCCCTCTCTTGTCTTTTCTCTTATTATTTAGTTTTAGATTATCTATATCTTTATGAGCCTTTTTCCCGGTCGAAATTATTCAAGGTGCACACCAGATAAGCACGGGAAAAAAATTTCAAGACCAAGGAATACACAACATGCCAAAAAACGCTTCAGTACTTTATTTTAAACCTCCATTACCTTCAATCCTCTTCCCTAATGATTTCTAAAAATTTGAAGGCACTGCACTAAAGACTTTCTGATACACTTGGTAAAGCATCTGTCATGCAGATCTTAATAACTTCGATCCTTTGCCCTAACTTCGGCTTATTCCTTTTAAAACCCTAAGGAAGCTTAAGCTTTAGTAAGAAGAGAATGAAAATTGGCATGTATTGTTCAAAAATAATTCTGCTGCCAAATTGATCTCAAATTGTAGTGAGAATAAACCAACTTGGTGGTTTCATACTTTGTACCCTTCCAATTTTATACGTGCCTAATCAGAATCAACTGGAAAAAACTCAAAGAGTTCGAATAACTCTTCTCAAAATCGCGTTTTTAGATCCTTGGGGTACTTCTGGAGGGCTAAAAGGAAGGAAGCTGATAAAGTTACCCAGATTTCTAAGCGGTAAAACGAATGATAATGACAATTTTTTATCAATTACACCTCTCTACCTCGAATCCATTCAATACATAATAATAAATGAGACTAAAAAAGAAATATACTACTCAGTGAAAATAATATAAAAAGAATTACGTAGTATTACTTGCACTGATTACTAACAATTTAATTTTTAAAAAGCGTTCTTTTATCTTCTCTTAGACCTTGAATTTTTTTGAGAAGGAAATATTTAAAATCACTAATTCTTTAGACTTCCACACATTTAAAGACACAAACAAAGCTCTCACTTCGAAATTAATCCACAAAAAAAGAGTCACTGCGTGATTAGTGTGTGCTCATTCACAGCGGTATCTCTATGGTGTGATTCCTGAATATCATATAAAATAATTTGAAATCCCTCAGGCATAAATTTTATTACCGTAAGTATTTATACATATAAATGAAGGAAAAAGCGCTGAACAGCTTTGTTTACCCGTAATAGGGGGAATACGTTTTCAATTTGTATAACAATTTATCAGCTGATAAAGTGTGAATCAATATGCTTTAACATCAATTCAACTTGAGCAGTCAAGCTGAACTTCTTTAGGGCATACTGCACACAATGAGGGCCCTTTGTCTTTTTCCAGTCCTCATTCAAAGCCTGTATGACAGAGGCATAAACCCTATCACCCACTTCCGCATTTGTTCCCTCATCCACAAGGGTTCCAACTTCATCATTTACAAAGTCAAGTGGACCTCCAGATTTTGCCCCAATCACAGGCGTCCCGCAGCCCATGGATTCGATGAAAACAAGACCAAAGGGTTCATCTTTGCTTGGGAAAACAGAAATATCGGCAACTGTGAACAAATTGGCAAGCTCAGGTTGCCCCAGGGGTCCCAGAAAAAAAGTGTTCTTCAGCTTAAGGTCGAAATACGCCATATCGACATATTTCTGGCACGCTTCTCTTGAACCACCACCGCACAATATCGTAAGAATACTCCTTTCCTCCTGTTCCCACTTACTCGCTGCCAGCAGGACCGAGTCCAGACGCTTCCAATCAGCAAAACGTCCACAAAAGACAACCAAATGCTTGTATGAATCAATATTCGGAACAGTTTTTCCAGGTTTTACATTCTGAACCTCTGCAGGAAGTTGGGCCTCGTCAAACCCATCATATAAAACTTGGGGCATTTTTCCAAATGCTTTTTGTCTGGTCATTCCATCAATAGGACGGAAGATATGCTGACCATATCCGCAAGGAGCAACAGAAACAAGATCTTTCGGAAATAAGGGGAAAAGTTTAAGGAATGCCTCTTTTTGCGGAAGGGAAACTGTAAAAATACCATATACCTTCTCAGTATTTTCGAATAATTTCTTCTCCTCACGAATCCATGTATAATACTTCATTGGAAAGTCAGGAAGATGATTTAGCTCGTTTTCATACATTCTGAGGGCAGTTCCGTGTACAAAGACTACAAGGGGAACCTTGGGTTTACCACACGCCACACGTCGCTCATTAATCTCGGACATTATCACGGGATTCATGAAGGCATGATGAGCCACAAATAAATTAAATGACTGGCCATGCTTTTTTTCAGCATATTCAATGTAATCCCAACATTGCTGTCGGAGGGCATCACAGTAAGACTTAACTTCCTCATCACTCATTGAATGCCACCGCTTACTGCTCTGCGGTCCTACACTTTCACAAATCGGAATAGGATGTGGAATCTCATAGACCCTATAATCATCCCTTTCATTCGGCGTTTTTTGAATGTCAGATGGCCATATAGAATAGCAAACAGTATCGGGCAAGGAGTTCATTGCAATATGGTGACCTTGGTGTAGAATACCAGATCCAGGGGCAAATTGGCCAGGTCCTTGCCAATTATTGGTACCAAGGGTAAAGATTAGCCTTTTGGGGGTCATAATGAATGAATGAAGAAAATTCTTGAAAACACTTGACTCAGAAAATTTGATAAACTAAAGCAAAAGTGGAAAATTGAGACTTCCAATCGTTTCAACACATTGGCAATGAATTTGGCTTCAATTAGAACGTCTATTTACAATAACATTGATAGTACAAAAGAAAAGGGGGGAAAGTATCTACATGGGAGAAAGGCAAAGCTATAAGTTATAAACCCTTGAAGACAACTATTGCAATGTACCCTTTGTGAAACATGTATAGGAGGTGCTTTAGCTCGTACGTTATTTCAAATCCAAATCCTTCTCCTATAACACAATGCCAAGAGGGGCCGAACTTTTTGTCCATCAGCTCCTTTATATGCTTTGCTGCCTGTTCATAATTGTTTTCATACTTTTCAAGCGCGTTAACTGAAATTTCCTTACATTCCGTCTGCATTTCCTCAGACATATCGCACATCTTTTCCAATGGATAGTTAAAGGCTTGTGTATAACGCCTAATATACTCTAAATTGCATGGCCCTACAGGTTCTTTTGGTTTAGAATCCATTCCGTTAAAATGTGTAAAAGAATAGAAACAAAGCTTCCTAAACAACGAACTCAGGTAAAAACAAATGATGAAGATGAGATGAAACTTTCAGGGGTAATAATAATAATTAATCAAAATATTGCTTATGTTTGAATAAATCTCTTTGCACAAGCAACTTAGCTATAAATCAGAACACCAATAAAAGTTTATACCGGTTCTAACAAATCTTCTTTCTGAATATTTTCAGAAGTAACTTTTGTCCCTGCCTTCTGCTGAATTTCATGATGCGGTACTTGGACAGAATCGAGGGCATAATGCTCGCTACTTTCAACCATCTGTGCCTCGAGTTCTTTTATCAAATCATCATCTTCAATACTGGAGAGCGGTTGGTTAATTACATAGTCGATATGCCTCGCCTCCTCAATAGATTCCCTGGTTTCACTCATAAGCTTTTCCACATCATCAATATTGAGAATTTTATTCAATTGCTCCAATTCCGATTTACCATCCCTTAATGCGGCAACTACCTCACACTCAATCTGCGTAAAATCAATGGTATCAATAAGGTTCTGGATATTATCAAGCATTTTGCTCACTGAATCTATCTGATCAAACTGGGCACGTTCACGTTTTAGACAGTACAACGCTTTTCGCCTATTCCCTTTCTTGAGAAACTCTTTTGCGTTATTGTGCTCGATATTTCCAACAATCTCAAATTTACGCATGGCTGCAACTAGATTATCTCTTTGTATCTTTAGTTCGAGCTTGACTCTATCAGACGAAGTAATCTCTGTGGGATGCTTCCCACTCTTTTTCTTTCGATGGGTATCTTTGGCATGTCCTTTTGAACTCGACCCACCCATTTAATCAGTAATTACTGCTTTGAAATGAAAAGGGATACAATATTCTTGGACACAAAAACTTCGTTTCGTATTTTTGGACGACTTTTAATATAGCATTCTAAATTAGCAAATATAATATTAATATAAAAACATAAATCAAATGAAGGGAAAAGGGATTGCCATTTACAGATGAAAAAGCAACCATGTGCGAATACAAGCGAAGTAACACATACCTTTAAAACTGCCATTAACTTTCACCACACGCTTGGCTACCACAAGGATGCTGGTGATCAGTTTTTATTAATAGAGGCGGTCAAAGAAATCTAGAGTAGAAATTCTGATGCCTATCATACATGGAACCGAAACCACACAGTATTCATCCTAATTGGCTTAAAAACCAAGACATTATAATGTAAAAATGGCTTCGTACATCAAGAGATTCCTTCGAATCACCATTAAGATGCCCAGTCGCATATAGAAGGTGCTTACGGCTTTAAGACCCGCCCAAGAGCGGCTGGAAACGTCACAAACATCAGAATTGTCTAATTCAACAGAAATGACTTTGGCCGCTGAAGATAACTTTCAGCTGTAGACTACCAAACTTCCTTGTAAAGAATCATTGGCGCCACAGAGGGCGATGACACAGAGACAAGGGGTTACCCCACCCTATGGGCAAATCCCCCCACCACGGCCAGCTTGACCCAAAGGCCCCGCACACCGCAAATAACAATATGCACAAAAATTACCACCAGGATGCCAAAGAATTCCTCGCAAGAAACAGGTATTTTATATAGTGGGAAATCATCAAACGGGGGCAACAGGCATTTACAATGAGAAAATAACCAGCGCATGATGCAAATAGCCTTCGTTACTGGCAAAATCAATTACCGACCCCGAAAACAAAATTATCATTATAAAAATGAATTGCACCCCGATAATTAGGTAAATTCTATGAATTAGGGGCAAACACAAAAAAAATATTTTATAGAGAAAAAATATTATTTCACAAAAAAAATGATGTTACAATGTAAAATTACTTGCAATAAGTCAAAATAATTTTTATTCGTCATAAAATTGTTTTCTAGATGCTACATAACCATTAAACTATTAAAAAAATTATTAGGGGGGAAAATATATTTTTTAAATTAAAAATTTTTTTTACGGTGTGTAAAATAAATTTAATTTGTAAAGAAATAAATTTTAATTCGAAAAATATATTTTTATTTAAAATAATTTTTACGGTGTGTAAAATTAATTTAATTTGTAAAAAAATAAATTTTAACTCAAAAATATATTTTTTTAATTAAAAATTATTTTTACGGTG